GCAGGAGATCACATAATGTTCTTTTGTCTTTGTTAAAATGGGGCGGTGGGGTAGCCTAATGGTTAAAGCGTTCGTTCGTCATGCTGGAGACCCGGGTTCGATTCCCCACATGGGTACAATGTGTGAAGCCCATTTATGGTGTCCCCCACCATGATATTGCAGGAATATTGCTCAAAACAGCATAAAACCATACTCACTCACTCACTCACTCTTGCCGAAATGGAGAATTGACCCACACATGTCAAATATTGTAACATATTGGCTTGGTATATTAAGGGTAAGTGAGTGAGTGAGTATGGTTTTACGCTGCTTTTACAATATTCTAGCTATATCACAGCAGGGGACACCAGAAATGGGCTTCCCACATTGCACCCATGTGGTTAGTTGAACCCAGTTCTTCAGCATGACGAGCAAATGCTTTAAGGCAAGGCTTTATACTAGGCTACCTGACCACCCCTGTCTGTATATCAAAGGAAATCTGACACAGTGGTGGTAGGTTCAGTGACTGTGATGGTACACAAGGTGAAAATATACTACTCAGAATATGTTAAAGGCTTTTCCTCCATATCACTATAGTCAATCTGTCTAGTCTCCGGGTTAGAATTGATCTTCAGTAATCCATGCTTGTCGTAAGAGGCGACTAACGGGGTCGAGTGGTAGGGCTTGTTGACTTGGTTGACACATGTCATTAGTTCCAAATTGCGTAGATCGATGCTCATGCTGTTGATCACTGAATTGTCTGGTCCAGACTCGATTATTTACAGACCACCGCCATATAGCTGGAATATTACTGAGTGCGGCACTCACTCACTCAATCTGTCCAGTCAGTAATTGAGAATACATGTTAAAGTTCTATATGCTCATTCGTCAGCCATATTTAGTTGAAAAGATCCTTTTTGGGACAGATAATGCAAATTTATAGTTTATGTATTTCATCCCTAATTACTTTTTTATTTCATTTGTTGAACAAGAGAATAAAGCTTTGAATAAAAAATACAGTTAACTTATGTTTATTTCTCATATTTACCAAGAGAATAAGGCGTTGAATAGATGGCACATATTCAAGTTGTATGTGTTTCATCACTGTGTACTACCCATCAAAAGTTTAGACTCACTTAAAGCACTCACTATATGTTATGTATATATATATGGTTACACCAAAGATGAATTTCTCCACGAATCAACTGCAAACCTTATGCAGATGAATTGCATGAGGATCATGCCATCAATTTGCTGAAAAGCATGTGCACATATCGTGCATGTGAAACGCTGCGTTTTGGTGTAAAGTTTTGTTAAGAATTTGCTAATTTTCACTGTTTCATCATTTATTGAACTCATGACAATAATCTGTTCAATGTTACACATTTATTTTACAATGCATCAGTTCATGTGTAAACAGTACCTTTAAACAATATGGAATATTCTGCAAAATCTAGTATGGAACTGTTGACTGAAGTAACTGGCTACATTTAATCTAGTGGGTCTAAACTTTTGATGGGTAGTATAGTTATTATAGGATGCCACCTAGTGTTGAACGAACATATCAAGCACTGTGAAACAGACCATAGGAGCAGCACAATTCCCTTGTTCCCATGCAGGTATAGAAGCTATACTTTGATTTATGCCTCAAGCACCTGGCCAGGTGAGATGTGTGGCCAGATAGTGCTTAGCAGCTGCTGTTTTGTCTGTAAGCTGGAGGTGCTGCACTTCCTCCTCACTTGTCAGGTTGTCATCAGGATAATAGTATGTTGTCATCCTTGGCAGCCATATTTAATGGAAGTAATAGCTTCACTGAATGAAGCTTTGCTATAAAGAACAATTATTCCATTAGACCATGGAAATATTATTGTTTAAACCTTTCATCGCTCATTCAAGTCTATTTCCACCACATGTATGTCTGGGAAGAATGCAGTAAAGAGAATCTTTTTCAGGAAAACTGTAGCTTTTCTAAGTCGGCAGCCTGTCAGACTGACCTTGATACTGACATTTTTTATGATCTTAAACATATATATCACACATGGCCAATCCTATATTTTGTATCTTTGCTATTGTCTTTCAAAAAATAAATTTCCTTCTTTGTTAAAACATGAGTTTCAAGGGGTTAGTTTGTCAGATTTTGGAAAGAACATACTGGATTCTCACAGTTTGCAATTCTGTGTATTAAAGTTACCATGACACTGTGTAAATTGTCATAGCATGGTCAAATTAAGTTCCTTGTGCCTTTATGTTTTTGCATTAGGAATTGCATAGACATTTTAGTTTGGACAAAATGCTTTGTCTCAATCTTTCTCTCATGAAGCCAAACGTTCTTAGGTACTCCTGTCTGTGACTTGTCCTGTACTTCGAAGCCTAAGAAAAATTCTTTTGGTCTGGTAAGCTCTGATAATAATAGTCCCTATGAAATGCTAAAATATTCTGAAAATAATGTTCAGAACCTTATTTGGTGCTTGTAAACTCATAACTGTTTGGCATAAACTGCTGCTCTTTATGGTAAAATTACATTCATTGAGTTTGATGATGGGTAACAATATATTCTTCTGCTTGTTACACTAATATTCCAAAGGGCATATCTAAACATCTATTAGTTCCTCGAAGCAGTCTTAAGACTAATAATTTCTATCTCTGATTATGATTCTGGCTTAGTTTCATTTTCATTAATTCCTTAATCTATATATTTTTTGCTCAAACAATAATTATTATTAATCTCTATGATCTGTGTCGACAGTCAACCCTTCTGACTCGTGATATTTACTATATGGATAAACAGTAATTACCTCAGACTATGTTGTGAGTGACCGACAGTTTTAGAACTCTTTTAGAAGTATTCCATCAGTATCAAAATCGGGGAACACCAGAAACGGGTTCACACATTGTACCCATGTGGGGAATCAAACCAGAGTCTTCGGCGTGATGACAGAACACTTTAGCCACTAGGCTATCACCGCCCCCTAAGACTGTGTAACTAACATTGGCAAGTGCATGTCATGGTACAAAGATAGCATGGATCATTGTTTCCCCAACATTCACTCCCCTGTGCTATATATACCTGGAGCACCTGCCTCGTGTTGCCTCCTCATCCGCGTGGGAACTGCAGCAATCATAGGGCATTCTGTCTGGTGATCTTGAAAATATTGCTCCCTGCAGATTAATGCTAAGTCTCTGAATATATGTAATTTTGTTAGAAACAACTCATTAGGGCTGGGACGGTCCAAATTTTCTACCCAGGTACCCCACCCCCTATTACCCTACCCGGATACCCGTTATGTTAATTCCTGACCTCAAACTTGCAAGAAATGGCAATATATTCTTCAGCTCGGAAGCTACATTTCGAAGTTTTCATTATCTTAACCATGTGTTATATTGAAAACAGGTGACTGTAAATTATGTTTAAATAGTCAAAGACAATGCAACCTTTTAATCATTAAAGAATAACATATTACATTGTTTAATCTATTAGTCACATGAACATACCAGGTCCGGGTATTGAGATGGGTACCCAGGTCCAACTCATTACTCACCCGTCCCTGGTATCCAGGTTACCTGTCCCAGCCCTACAACTAATTCCTTTTAAATTGAAAGAAGCCCTAGTGAGATGGGTTGATTCAGAAGCTGAGGAAATCTAGACTTGCTTTATTAGGGCTCTAGGCAGGAGACCTATTGTAATCGTTCAGATTATTATTATTATTATTTTTATTATTTTTATTTATTATTCTGCCAATTTTTGTACCAAACATAACTCCTAAACCAATGCTCCGAATCGCTTACCAAAAATCACACAGATGTGCACCGAGGTGTAGATATTCCCCTTAAAAATCTCTAGGCTCTAGGCCCAATAGCAAAGGGGAGATAATTCAAAATTAATTCCAAAATTTCAAAGTTTGACATCAAATATGTCAAGAACTAATTGTTCCAACACTTCCAAACCTCTTGTGCAGATGCACAATCGAATTCCCAACAATTTTGCCTGGGACGGCTCAAATTCGCTAAAAGCGTGCCGTTTGGCAGTTATTTTTGTTTTCAGTTTTTGGCCATGTTTTTCAGCAGTTTTCTGAGTAGTTTGCTCCCAAAATGTGCAAATTCTGCAGTATGGTAGATGAAGGCTTGGTGATTCCAGAACATTAATTGTTTTGACCGTAGACCCAAGAACAACTGAGATACAGCCTTTTAAAGAGGGAACTATTTCTTCTCCGGAACTTCTTAAAAGGTACATGACCCCCTGCAGCAACCCCTGCTGTATTTGGAAGATCCGCTCGCCTGTCAAAACGTGTTCTGGCCCTGTTTTGAACGATGATTTCTAGCCCTCAGATACAATAGAGAGAACTAAAGCCAAAGAGCCCTCATCGTTGCCTGCAACTATATTTTGAGTTTTGGCATTGCAGAAAGGTCAGGGCAGTAAAATAATATGGTTCAGGGACTGTGAGACAGACATGTCTCCCTCAAGCTTCACACAGGGTTGATATAAGATTACACTAACAATTTGTTTCTGAATGTATATAATTTCCAGCCATAGATCAGAATTTTCTGCAGATCTGTGGATTTGATCGCGCTGGGGTGAATCGTCTAAACCTGCACCCCCAAGACACCTGGCTCATTTTCCTCTTTTTTTCATTCATACCCGTTCTCATTCCTAAATTACAAATTTCGTCAGTTAAAATTGTATTTTAAGACACATTGGACTGGAGCTCTGAGAATCTGTTCATTTTGTTGAAGCAAACAAGACTTACTGAAGTAATGTAGACTTACTTGGGTTTTCTCAGACATTTAACAAATCTTTTGTCGTCTTCATAATGGAGTTGGTGGCCAGAGAATCACTTCATTTCATTGAAGCAAACTAGACTTGCCAAAGTAATGTAGACTTAATTGGGTTATTTACAAAGTTATGCATGGCCTGTATGGAGACTTCATTAAAATGCCTTTATCTTAAAACACTTGAGAACAAATATCTATATTATATTTTATATGTTTTCATGTTTGATCATGTTGATTATTTGTTTTTCCAGGTAAGCGATGGGAAGAAGCTCAGGCCAAAGGTCAGCAACTGTTTTGGTAAGTTGAGAAACTGTATGCTCTCTGTTTAGAACAGGCCAGTGTTTTTTGCCTTACTTGGTCTTGTCATTATCAGTTCCTTCTGTATGGTAGCACCCCAGTTGTCAGACAGTCTCAGGGCTGGCTAAAATGATCGATAATAAAAAATATCATTCATAGGAAAACTTATGATTATCGATATGAAAATTGTGTTATCGATGATATTGCACATTAAAGTTTGATAGAATTTTAAATAAATTACTCACATGATAGACAAAGTTAAGGTTTTATTCAAGGGCAGCTGATGTTCATGATGCTATGCGTTAGTAATCCATGCATAAGCGTGTCACTACTCACCAGTCATGTGAGTGACTGAGTGAGTTTTACGCCGCACTCAGCAGTATTCCAGCCATATGGAAATAATCGTAAATAATCGAGCCTGGACCAGACAATCCAGTCATCAACAGAAAGAGCATCAATCTACACAATTGGGATACGATGACATGTGTCAACCAAGTCAGCGAACCTGACCACCCAATCCCGTTAGTCGCCTTTTACGACAAGCATGGGTTACTGAAGATCAATTCTAACCTGGACACCAGTGAAGTGAAATATGCTCATTTCTTTCAGAAGACATTTTTGCTCAAAGTTGTTTTCTGATATTTATTGATAATTGTCGATATTTATATGAGATCGATCTCAATGATTATAAGACAGCCAGCAGTTATCATTATACCGTTAGATATTTATATAGCAGTATTGTCTGTGATCTATATAGAGCCAGCACATGTATCATTCCAGTACAGATATTTATATAATGAGTATCGATGTCTGTGATCTATCTTTCAGATGTATCATTATACCCGTTGACATATTTGTATCATGAGTATGTGTCTGTGATCTATATAGACAGCCAGCACATGTATGATACCCGTAAACATATTTGTATAATGAGTATCGATCTCTGTGATCTATATAGACAGCCAGCACATGTATCATTATACATGTACAGATATTTATAAAATGAGTAACGATCTCTGTGATCTATATAGACAGCCAGCACATGTATCATTCTACACGTACAGATATTTATATAATGAGTAACGATCTCTGTGATATATATACACAGCCAGCACATGTATCATTATACACGTACAGATATGATTCAGTAATGGTAGACTGGTTGATGATTAAAAAGCCAACTTCATACAAATGTTGATATTTTTAGTTTTACTTGTTAGATATATCTATATAGTCACAACAATACCAGTCCGTCTGCTCGTGGGTTGTTATGTTGTTGTGACAACTAATTAGTAAGCAGTAGAAACAACTACAGAGGCTCAGATAAGCTGCGTATCCGGGTAAAATACGCATAGAAAATTTCCCGATTACGCATTGAAAAATAATTGTTGCATACCAATTACGCATTTAAAATGTTAGATACGCAAAAAGTTTAAAACAAATGCGTACGGAATAAATTTAGAAAAATCGCTTGCGTAATGAAAAAGACATCGATTGCTATCAAGTTGTACTGTTAGTATAGGACAAGTGTTGTACTGTCAGTATAGGATGAGTGATTTTTTTATGAAATCATTTCCATTATATTTAAGTTGGTTTTGATTAGGTATGACATGAGGCAGAACATACATGCTTAGTAAACTTACTCAATGACATAATACTTAGGTGAGTAAAATGACTGAAATACGTACACATTTGAAAGCAGTGGGTAACGGAAAATGAAATACCCACTCAACATTCATAATACCCACTTCAGAAAAATACAGTGGGTACAGTACCCACATGAGCTAAATCTTATCTGGAGCTCTGCAACTACAGGGTTAGCTGTGAACACATAATGAAAGTGGTCACATGTAACATGTGTTATATTAGGGATTACACTTTCTTGGTAAGGCCAGACCAATTTTATTTCTTATTTTACAGATTTTTCTCCTTAAAAAAACTAAAGGCAGGAGGGAAAAAAAATAAGAATACAATCATAAAGTAATATTCCTTCTAAATACTAAAAGTATTTTACATATGGCAATTTATGAAGTGTATATGGGGCAAAACATTAGGATTTTATTTTCTGAGCAGGGAAAATTCAATTTATTTTTTTTCCTTATTCTTTAAAAAATACGACCGGCGGATCCGTAAAACAAGAAATAAAATTGGTCTTGCCTAAAGTAGAGATTCTAGTGCTGATGTTAGGTTGAGTCCCATCCGGTATTTGAACCTTCAGTCTCAGGCATCTGATCGCAAGCACACAATGTCAGCGATCTAACCCACTCAGCCAACACAGTTGCCACAAAAATGGAAGTCGGACAACTGGTAGTCTAAATGTTGACTTTGTGTACCCCTCTGACAAGTATAAAATGGCACAGCTCCCACAGCTGAAAGCTATGAACACACAATGCCGTTTAGAAAGTGGTCAAAAAAGTAGAATCTGTGCTTCACTGAGAATGTGTAATCCCAAATATAACATATGTTATAACACAGTAAGCTGCTGAGTGGCACAGGTGAGTGATAGGATTAAAACCAGTAGATTAGTCTATTATTATGACAGGTGCATGTGTTAAGACACTCCTAACAAACAGTCTGAAAACTGGAGTGTGAAATGGGGTGTTGCAGTGTATGAAACCAGTGAGCTTGACACAGATATACCCTAGCATTATGACGTGGGTACAAATCGACATGATATCTTTTTAATAAAACTTTGTAAGATATGTTATATTTGGCATTACACTTTCTCCAGGATTCGAACCCACACCCTGTGTGCTGGCGACTAGGTGCCTGACTCTGAAGGTGTGGGTTCGAATCCCGGATGGGACTCAACCCAACAAAAGTACTAGATTCTGTACTTTACTGAGAAAGTGTAATCCCAAATATAACATATGTTACATTTTACCACTTTCTAAATGGCATTGTGTATTCATTTAATGAAACTTTTATAACAAAATAAAATCACTGTAGCTATTTAGTACATAACAGTTGCTCATCTGAGAGTTTTGGCAGTTTCAAATCAAAGCTCTGTGTGATTTGAACATTGTTGAAGCAGGAGAGAAGGTTTCAAGAATTTACACTAAACCAAATATTTTTCCCATTCACTTCTTTAGCAACGCTATATTTTTAAAAAAATGAACCAAGCCCTCAACAGCTGTTACATGTACATGCGTGCATAGTCTGGCCATAAAGCAGCCATAAAGACCAAAAAATGACTACCTCAACCTGTTCCTTTTCCGAGTCCAGGAAGCTGAACAGACCAACCCTAGTTCCGCTCAAAATATCACCTGCTTGTCGCTACAAGCTGCATAAGTTATCATGTTAATAAAAACAGCACTGAATATTAAAAAATATGGTCAATTTTAATAACTGGATGGATGTACATTTAAGAAACACCTCACATAAAATCAGCCAATCACAGCTGCCAGATGATTCAATCTGAGCTGAAGGCTCCCAACAAAAACTGCTTATTCAACCGACATAGGAGAATATGATTAGGCAAGAAATTTGATTTTTGTAGTGAAAAACATTGATTTCAAAAACTGAATACAATATCTCAGTTAAGATTTGCTAATTTGTTTTCAGCATTGTTGATTATTTTTGTCCTACTTATCCCCGATAATCCTTACTTCCACAAGTTGAAATTCCTTGGGTACGAGACCCGGGAAGTTTCTGGTTAGAATTGGCCTTCAGTAACCCATGCATGTCGTAAAAGGCGACTAAAGTGATCGGGTGGTTAGTCTCGCTTACTTGGATGGCACATGTCATCATATCCCAGTTGTGTAGATCAATGCTCATGGTGTTGTTCACTGAATTGTCTTGTCCAGGCTCAATTATTTACAGATCTGCCGCCATATAGCTGGAATATTGCTAAGTGCGACATAAAACTAAACTCACTCACTTACTCCCATCCACTCAGCCCTTTCTGCAATGCAACAGGTGCAGATTTTCCTTAGTTTTTGACCCGCCCACCTTGCTGCCACCTTCTTTACAATTTAAATAGTGTTTAAAATCAAGCTTTAGTCTAGTGAATATACTGTAATTGCTTCCTGGGAATAATGCCTTAGCTAGTATTCACATGTAATAACAATGATGATGGATACAAGTTGCTGGTATAATGAAACAGAAAGTGGGCCTGGACACATGACACAAGAGTCGTTTTCCTGTAGTTACACTTGTGACCTGACAAACAAGACTGTCATATTATGTCCTTCTTTGTATATTTGTAGCTATTACAAGTACCAGGCAGGAATTTTTGACTGGGGGCAATACCAGAATGTTTTTACTGAAACTCATGAAACTTAGCTTTCCCTAAGATTATCAGTCACTGATGAGGCATGAGTAACTTTGTACAGAGTTGTGTCCCTTAGTTGTCAGGATCTCCTATTCAGGGGTTCTATTCTTTGAGTGAGTGAGTGAGTTTAGTTTTACGCCACTTTTAGCAATATTCCAGCAATATCATGGCGGGAGACACCAGAAATAAGCTTCACACATTGTACCCACATGGGGAATCGAAAATGGGCCTTCGGCATGACAAGCGTGAGTGAGAGTGAGTTCAGTTTTACGCCGCTTTTAGCAATATCATTCCCCACATGGGTACAATGTGTGAAACCCATATCTGGTGTCCCCCACTGTGATATTGCTGGAATATTGCTAAAAGTGGAGTAAAACCATCCTCACTCACTCTTAAAGATTAAGCAGTTGTAAGGATGAAAGGCAGATAAAAGCGGTGTGAAAACCGACTCACTACTAGTAAGACAATCTGGACCTGACACAGGCAACAGACAATGGCTACAAATCTAAACTAACAACAAGATGCAACGTTTGTTTATTCTGTCCGAAATCAACATCATGTTCCCCATTCCCACAATTCCTGTCATAATTCAAGTTGCAGGGATATGTGAATGTGGGGATATTCAAACCAGGTATTTAAGTGGTAAATACGCCTGTTGATCATACACAGTGACCGTGTGTGTGAAACATTGTCTTCAGCTATCAAAGCGTGTCTCCAGACTTTTGATGTGTGCCTGTTGGAAGAATGCCATCTCCACACAAAGGATAATCTAGAAAGAGGAAGGAAAATAACTCAGAGTCTCATACAAAGCTTAGCCTTGATAATACCCAATATGTCAACAACTTTTTGCAAATTAGAAATGTTATAACATATGTCATTGTGTTCGTGTTCTTGTCAACTTCAAGGGGGTATTGTTAGACCTGTGACAGGTCTGTGCTGTATCGGGGCAATATGGTGAAACTTATTTTTAATTAACCCTTTCACTTTAGAGGTCATCATCAAGCACAACAAAAAGGCCTCCAGGCCCAGATTGTTTGATTAAACTATATCATGGCGGAATTAACTTCTTGCACAGAATGTTTGAGAGTCAGTAAATCTGGGGAAGTATTTATTTATGTTGATGAACATTGTAGTTGAAGCATTTATGTTGTGGTTAAAGGTTAAGGAAACTCCCACGAACCATTGAGAAGGTTAATTCACATTTCTCTTGTACCGAACACATGCTGAATACTGAAAATGGTTATTTTTTCACACATATTATGATGAACAAAATGAGAGTGACTGAGGGATAGGTTTAACAAATTCACAGACAAGCCCCGAAATCTATACCTGCACCTGCTAGCCTGTTAGTACAGAATATTACTTACATGGTCTGGTTCATGTTTTGAAATATAGGGGTAGCATAGTGGTTAGAGTGTTCACTTGTCACACCAAAGACCAGGTTCAATTCCCCACATGGGTGTAATTTGTGAAGCTCATTTCTGGTGTCCCCCGCTGTCATATTGCTTTAATATTGCTAAAAGCAGCATAAAACTATACTCTCACTTGCTGTTATAACATCAGAGTATGCTTGGAGAGAATGACAAATATGAAAACATGCAAAACAAAAAGAATTGGGACTGGTTTGTTGTTTACAATGTGTTGGACTAAAATTAGAATTTAAAATGTTATTGATGACATGTTAGATTTGTTATTTGCATAATTTTGATCACTCACAGGACTTCGACTGAGTCACAGCTTTGGAGGTCATGTTGTCCCACCCTGCTGGGCTCGGCCAGACTTTTCTGGTTTTTGTTTATAGTTTATTGAAAACTTTGGTTGATAGGTCAAATAGGGGAATAAATATGTTTCAAACGCTTTAGTGGCTTGAAATTTTATTTGGATCGATAAGGGATGGCGTCTGTTTTGCTGGTTTTCAGTCTTTAAACATGTTAAATAATAGCTTTTAATGGGTTAAAACTGGGTTCCAGAGTATAAAGTTTGTTATGTGTGCCTGCTTTAGGTAGTAGAAAATGCACTCAAGGCTAGTTTATTTTCATCATGAAAACAATTTTTCGAGTCAGAGCAAAACATTTCTCTACTAAATATATTTTCTCCAACTATTTTCAAATTTTGAGGTTGCTTGAAACGTAAATTGTGTAAAAAATATGTTAGGCATTAAGTTTTCTAATGTCTACACACCCTCTTTCACTTTTCATGGCACGGTGTTTATTGCTAGATGAATCTCTCTGACATTCCATTTCAACGAGTTATGCAGGATCTGATATTCACAGAATGAGACAGATTTCAGTTGATTTGTCAGATTCTAGAAACTACAAATTTCATATTTCAGTCATCAATGTGGCTGGGCGGCGCTACTTTATGGAGGCCGAAGATGAAAACGACAAAACAGAATGGATAGAGGCCCTCAACAACGCCAGCAAGATCACGGTAACCTAACTCAACATACCGTAAAACCTCAGTTAAATGTGTAGTTTGTGTAGTCGGAACAAGTTGCTGTTACTAGTTGAAGATGTAGAGGATAAACTGACGAGTGTGGGTGGAACCAGATTAGGAATGATGATGGTTGGATAATTGGGATGGTTGGAGTTTTTCAAATGTGTAATTGTACTAGAAGATACAAAAATAATGCCTTAGCTGGAATGTGAAAAAATATTGGTTTGCTTGAAGCCATGAAAAGAATCTGTCTCTGGTTTCTTCTGAAAAAACATTGTGTGTTGCAGTAGTGAGCATACATGTGTTTTGTCTTTTAAAACAAATTGTCGAATTCATATTGCTGGTTTGTTTTCTTTCTTCTTTTTTCTTGTTTCTTTACTGGCTGGTGTATGTAGGAAGTACTTGAGTTTGACACAAGTAATAATGCATTTCTCTCATGCATTTCTCTCAAGTTTATCTTGCAGTTTTGTGCATACAAAATGTTTTATTTTTTGTCAAGATGTTAGTTATGATTGCTTTTATCAAAAGTAGTTTTATTAAAGGTGTACAGTCTACATATGTTTGACTTTTGTAATAAGGATGAGATAGATAAACACATCTTAATGCTCATTTTTAGGCATTTCACACAGTGGTAGAGAACCTTTTTTTCAACATGGACAAATATTGAAATTTAGTTGTCTGCTGGAGAAAATAATATATAGGTGTTTGTCAAAATATTACATTTTGTTTATCGGCCATTGAAACAGATGACTTAAAATATCTTAGGGCGACAAATGATCCTGATTAAAGTTAATTAAATCTCGAAAAAAACTAACTGCACAGACTTTTCATGTTCATTAACTTAAGATTAAGGGGCGGTGAGGTAGCCTAGTGGTTAAAGTGTTTGCTCATCAGGCCGAAGACCCAGGTTCGATTCCCAATATGGGTATAATGTGTGAAGCCCATTTCTGGTGTCCCCTGCCGTGATATTGCTAGAATATTGCTAAAAGTGGTGTAAAACCATACTCACTCACTCTTAAATATTAAGCAGTTTTAAGGATGAAAGTCAGATAAGAATCAATGGCTGATTGTATAGTGTTGACCTGTGTTTCACTAGTGTTCACTGAGTGATGAGATCACATGCTGACCTGCAGGTACCTCAGGACGATGCAGTCAAGCACCTACGTACAACAGAATGGCAGGCGCGTGACCTCAGTCAGAAGTCCTATGTGACCGAGATTGCTGGCGGTGTGGTGTGTAAGATGCCAGTGCAGGTCAGTAAAGCTACAGGAGTTGTCTCCCTTGTATGTTTCATCGCCCGGCCATTGACATGTTGTTTCATGTATTACTTGTAGAAATATGGGAGCAGTGGGTTTGTCATGATGAAGGCCTGTGGATGATTCCCCACAATGTACAATGTGTGAAGCCCATTTCTGGTATCCCTAGCTGTGATAGTGCTGGAATATTGCTGAAGTGCCTTAAAACTTAACTCACTCACTCACTCAGTCACATGTAGGATTGTGTACTTATATTGACGTGCAGGCACTATGTAATGTGTGTCACTTGACTTTCCATATTGACATCTGATCCACAATCTCTGATATTAGTCTATGGACAAATCAAAATGCTAAAATTGTTGACAAGGAACTGCCTTCTCTTTTGAAATACTACTGAATGGATTAACGACAGTTACTTTTGTTTGTTTTGTCTGTTTAAACGCTGCACTCAGCAATATTCCAGCTATATGATTGCGGTCTGTAAATAATCAAGTCTGGACCAGACAATCCAATGATCAACAGCATGAGCATCGATTTACGCAATTGGGATACAATGACATGTGTCAACCAAGTCAGCGAGCCTGACCCTCCCGATCCTGTTAGTCGGTCTTACGACAGTCATGGGTTGCTGAACACCAGTTCTAACCCAAATTACTTATCTAATCATTGGGTTTTGCTCTTTGGTGTGTACGACTGTCTCCACGGTGATGTTTGTTCCCCAGACTGGCGAGGATGTGTCCGGTGAGAGCAGTAGTGAGGATGAGGAGTCCACGAGTCGGTCATCCTCCTCCGGACGTGTCTCCCCCTCCAACTCCCTGTGTCGCACCATCAGCGATGCCCCTCGGACAACTTCCTCGAGGGGAAGCTCATCGCTGAAGGCCGGGTACGGAGTCAAGCAGGGGGCAGTGGTGAGTATCTTCATCTGAATCTGTCTACGTATTTAAGACCCATGGTTTTACCCATTATTGTATATTCTTTTCACATGTAGAATTTTGATGAAAAAAAGGGGAGAAAAAAATATAATTTTAACTCATTGTTGTGTTTTGGCTGACATGTCATTCTATGGTTATAATTCAATGCTTATTTTCACACATATATATCACCAGTTTGTTCAGTCAAAACATTGTGGCCTTTTTAGACCTTCAGAAATCAAATGATCATTTTCTTTGAAAAATATTCAGCTGCAGTTGAAGTTTTTACAAAAGTGAAATGCATGAATTGACAAATTTCTTGTTCCAGAGAAAAAGTTGGAAAAGGCGTTTTTTCCTTCTCCATGAAAATGGATTTAGCTATTACCGGACTGAACAGGTGAGGAATTCACTAACCAACACGAAGTAATTATATCTGGATGTGAGAAAATCTTAGTCACAATGTACAGTTACACTGTCAAGATCATCATATCTCAATATAATTTATGTGAATATTGTTTTGGCTATGAATAAATATGTCATATTACCAGACTGAGAAATAGAAACAATTAATTCCAGTGTTATAATATTAACCACTTGTTGGTGTGGCCAATGGTATTATTTTGTTTTCAGGTCACCAGGATGTAGATACATGTTTCTCTGTGCTGTCATCTTCCAAAGATATTTATTTTAACTTGTTGCTATAAGAAAGCTATGTCCTGTTACTAAATATTTTCCCATTAGATCCGCCAATGGCCTGTTGGTCACTTCATATGCTTCAGCCATGTGTATGTTTCGTGATGCAGCGACGAAAGCAGCATGATTCATAGTCTCACTGTCCCTGAACTACATTATTTTCCCTACTGCCTAGCCCTATCTGCAGTGCTAAAGCCCAAAATGAAGCAAGTCTAGATTTCTTCAGATTCAGGATTTCCCATCTCACTGGGGCTCCTTTTCAATTTAAATGGGTTTATGTGTTACTATCAAAATTATATATATTCATAGGCTAAGCATTAGTCTACATTAGTCACTTCATAAGGCTCTTGCCTTTAAACCCTACATGTACCAAGTACTTCCTTCAGATGGTGCATCAATATGTTTACACTATAGAGTTGGAAACCGGACCATTTTCGTTAAATGTGTTCGGTATATAAAAATGTTTCATGATATTTGTATGATATACTTGTGATACAGTTTTCTTGTTTTGTACATGTGATGTTTCTGTTTTCAGGACAAAAGCCCAATTCGTACAATTCCAGTGTCTGAAATTTTAGAAGCCAGACAATCATCAGGGTAAGCCAGATCACAGAGAAGCCGTTAACTTCAGGGAATTCTGTTCTAAAAAGACCCGTAAAGATCCGGGTTAGGATTGGTCTTCAGCAACCCATGCTTGTCGTAAGAGGCGACTAGCCGAATTGGGTGGTCAGGCTTGCTGACTTGGTTGACACATGTCATCATAGCCCATTTGCGTAGATTGATGCTCATGCTGTTGATCTCTGGATTATCTGGTCCAGGCTCCATTATTTACAGACCGCCGCCATATAGCTGGAATATTGCTGAGTGCGGCGTAAAATTAAACTCACCCAGTACTGTTCTCAAAAGGCCAAGTAGCAAGATAGAGCTCCAGTTCTATGCTCAAATCCAAGATTCTCCCAATTTTGATGATAAATTTGTCAGTGCAAGTGGTATGGTTTGGGCCTGCCAAGAGTTCAGCTTTCCCCCAATATACTAATATTCAGTGATGTATCTGTATTCAAGTCAGTGTTTTACCCAAATCACCCTGTCACTGTTATCAAATGAACAAAAGTATTTCTTATGGATGATATCAAACATATCATTGAAGCAATTAACATGTACAAATTGTAGGTAATCTTCCCATACACAAAAGCTAAATGTGCATATATTTACTCAAAACAGACAATTGACCTAAACATATTTTGGGGTGTACTTTGAACACAAGATTCCAGGGATGTTAAGCTCTCAGGAGTTATCTCCCTTGCAGGAATGTTGTCATGCTTGCTTTCATCCCTTACAACACCTCTCTTGCAATGAAAATATAACTGTTATCTGTAAGTGATAGAATTATCTGTTTGGTCTGATGTACAACTGTTCTCTCTCTTGTTTCAGTGCTCATGTAAACAGGGATAATTTATTTGAACTCATGACATCAAAACGAATATTTTATATACAAGTAAGTATCTTTCAATGTCAGTCATGTCACTGATATTTCCCAACTGCCCTTGTAGGGTTAAGATCCGCGAAGACCTGTGGGTTCAATTCCCCACATGGGTACAATGTGTGAAGCCCATTTCTGGTGTCCCCGCCGTGATGTTGCTGGAATATTGCTAAAAGCGGCGTAAAACCAAACTCAGTCAGTCAGTCAGTCTGTGGGTTCCATGTGGAAAAGGTCACCTATGGTTGGATTAACTGTGGCTAGTGAGGATTCGTTGACCACAATGGGCGATCTTGTTGATTACGTGTAGATTGTTGCTCATGGTTTCAACTGGGGTTATAATTGCAGTTAATTTTGATGTTTTTTTCTCTATTTAATGGTATTCAAACATTTTCCAACATGTTACGATTTTCAGGTTTATTTGCATGAAACTTCACAATGTTATCTACGGTAAAGCTTTGACATTGTTTTCAGAGACAATGGTAATTTTAAATGTTGTCTGTTTATCGTAAAGTCTGAGTTCTCCTATGTTCTACAGTGTGATACACCCTGACGAAATGCTCAGCTGGATTGATGCCATTCGCTCGCTGCTTCGGAGTCGAAAGATGGAGGAACGAAAGGTGACACCAGAACTGAGTTGAAAACACCATCACCAAACCGTCACTTTGCATTGACACTTTATGACATGATGTCATAACTGTAATACTTTTGCGCATATGTGAGGTTTAAGTAATGTGTGGCTAAAAACAATCTCAGTTATGTTTAACAAGTTATGTGACTTAAAATATCCCATATTACCCTGGAACCCTTGATCTTCCGGGTTAGCATATTCGCCTTCAGTAACCCATGCTTGTCATGAGAGGCGACTAATGGGATCGGGTTGTCAATCTCACTGATATGGTTGACACATGTCATAGGTTCCCAATTAGTGCAGATCGATGCTCATGCTTTTGATCATTGGATTGTCTGGTTCAGACTCGATTATTTACAGACCACCGCCGTATAGCTGGAATATTGCTGAGTGCGGCGTAAAACTAAACTCACTCACTCACTCACTCACTCATATTACCCTGGTTCAGGTAGACTTGCACAAGTCTCTAAGGCAATAATTAATATTTAAATGATTATTTGTAAAAAATATGAATAAAGAGGACTCATTGTCCCTCTAACAGAGTGGCATCCGTACTGTCCACTTATCTAGACTTGCCTATATATAGGATAGAACCATGGGCTCAACACTCAGTACAGACTTTGAGCAAGGATATTGTTCAGATACAGAGTAAAGAACTTCAAGCACTGTTCTTTCAATTATACTTGCAGGAAAACATATTTGTATCTTGCCATATCTTCTGTATGAGTGTGGTGGTGGGGAAGCCTTGTGGTTAAACAGACCGCATATCACGCCGAAGACCCGGGTTCGATTCCCAACATGGGTACGATGTGTGAAGCCCATTTGTGGTATCCCCCACCGTGATATTGCTGGAATATTGCTAAAAGCGGCGTAAAACTAAACTCACTCACTCACTCTTATGTATGAGAGCAGCAGTGGGGAAGTGGTTAAAGTGACCGCTCTTCACGCCAAAGACCCGGGTTCGATTCCCTACATGGGTACAACGTGAGAGGCCCATTTCTGCTATCGTGATGTTGCTTTAATATTGCTAAGAGAAGTGTAAAACTCAACTCACTCACTTACTTCTTCTTATTAATATAATTCATATTTCCTTTTCAGTCTATGCAAGATACAGAAACTCACCAAACACTTGAAGATGACATCTGTGGCAAGACTTACCCCAAGGAAGTGTGGGTATGAGACAACAACATTGCATGCCTTGGATGTCGATTTGTGTTGATGGACTGACGACTAGTTTCATGCACCAATCTTGTTTTGCATTTGACAATTTAACCCACAAGACTGGAGATGAGCCATTGTTGTTACTACCGCATGCTCTCGTTCTGGTGTGACTCACATGTATGAACCATTGTATCATGTATTGTATGGGGATCTTGTACCATATGTTGTATGGGGATTGTATCAAAACTTGAAATGTCATTTTTTGTATATTTCATCTTGTATAATTCATAAGCAGGTATGTGATAGATACAGAAGGTGGATGTTTTGTCAAAGGACTAAGTTAGTGTTAATTAATGCATGTATATCACTACATGAGATATTAATTATACATGTATCATATACATGTGTATTTCCATACAAAGATGCTAAAAGATGTTAAACATTAAAAGTGCATATATATTTCATTAGAGTAAGAAGGGTTGTTTGTATTTAAAAACTTGTTCTACTGTTTTAATAATATTCATATGATTGGAAAAAACCATGGAAATTGTGAAGGAAAGAAGCATGCTTTAAGCCCATTTAGATCCTCCTAGGCTAGATGTTCCCCATTGTTAATGTATGTGCTGGTAGTTGTAGAGGGGCCCATTTAAGGTTTTGCATGTCTTATAGTTTCTGCATCAGTAAATAAATAAATGAATGATCGAATGAATAATATATAAATAATAAATAAATAAAAATAAATAAATTAATTAATTAATAATGATCAGACTATGTGACTTGTATGTGATATACTTCTCATCAAAAGTTTAGACTCACTAGTGTAAATGTAGCCACTTACTTCTTGCAACTGTTCTAAGCTAAATTTTGCAAAACATTTCATACTGTTTAAAGGTACTGTTTACACATGAAATGATGTATTGTAAAACAAATTCGTAACGTTGAAAAGATTATTGTCATGAGTTCAGTAAATGATAAATACCAGTGAAAATTAGCGAATTCTTAACAAAAGTTTACACTAAAATGCAGATGTTCACATGCATGATATTTGCACATGCTTTTCAGCTTTTTGATGCATGATCCTCGTGCAATTCATCTGCATAAAGTTTGCAGTTGGTTCCCCCAAGTAAGTGGAGAAATCAATCTTCGATGTAACATATATATATATATATATATATATAATAATTACGTAACATATAGTGAGTGTTTTAAGTGAGTCTAAACCTTTGAAGAGAAGTATATATACTGTAATGTTGTTAACTGTGACATAAAATACAAACAGCAATCAGGGGTTACTTGCATTATACCAGATACTGGCCATATTTTCTGATACTTTGATAAAGCATTGTGCTATAGTATGGCTATTCCAAAAGTCAAATAAACCTCGAGCAAAGCAATTCACAAACAAACTCAAAAATAGAAGTTCCATTTTAAGGTCCAGCAAACTCATCAGTATGCATCAGCACCAAATTTTTAATTAAAAAATTATCAATTTGTTTTCTTAAACTCAAACTGAAATGACATTACATACAAGAGCTTTTGTTACAAATATTTGTGTGGAGGGTAATCCCCACTTAATGTAGTCTTCCTATTTCTTCCCACCAACAATGCAACATCTACACTCTAATCCAAGCTATAGGGCATGTCTCGCGGGGGGCTACTTGCGGTACTAATCTGGTTCCTGGCTCCCTTTGCGCACACCAACTTGCGACATGTGAGATGGGGGCCCAGCTTACTTCCGGTACCAGATTTCCTGTGAGAAGAGTATATTAAAAAACCAGTTCTGGTTCCAAACTGTGCGACCTCCAAATATGACTTTACTAGAGCGGACCAAGTCTGCTTGGCTGTCACAACTGTTTGGTGATGGTTAGATTGCAAATTTGTTATTCCTGCAAGGATTATCGGTTCTTTACTGTCAACTGACAACCATGAGACCACTAGAAAATTTATGAAACGTTGCTTGTCAACAGAAGTACTAAGGTCTCACGAAGTGACCTACATACGGGCCATATTTTATAAATGCAACGAACAGTCCATGATTTTTCCTCATACAGTTTTATGAGGGATGTCTTTATGTGATCATATTACGTCCAGTGAAGTGGAAAGAGATTCAACAGGATAAGAAATTAACACTGGGAATGCATCCGTTTTTTAATATCTGAAATCTGACTAATTGCTAATAATATGTGAAATGAATTTTTTTTTTATATGTTACCGAAATCAGTAATAGGTGAATCTAGCAACATTCATAAATTATTTTTATATGATTTTTAAAGAATATTTTATTGTATCTCTGGCCTAACTACCATATGAAATCTGTTTTGACAGTATAAAAAGCTAGGGAGGCTAAGACAGAGTAACTTTCGTGAATATGAAGTAAGTTGACATTTTATCCTTTTCAGGGTTTCCTCTTTGCTTTAATGGGGCAGTGGGGTAGCCTAGTGGGTAAAGCGTTCGCTCGTCATGCCTAAGGCCCGGGTTCGATTCCCACATGGGCACAATGTGTGGAGTCCATTTCTGGTGTCCCCCGCCGTGATATTGCTGGAATAATGCTAAAAGCGGCATAAAACCATACTCACTCACTCACTCTTTGCTTTTCGGTAAAATTAGACTAATCTTATTCTTCTTTGGAAAAGCAACATGTAAGATTAATTTAGAAGTTGGTAAGATATTTCATGGATAACAGTTTAGTTATTATATTGTGATGCGATGTTTCAGTATAGAGTCTCATCTCGTTTTCATTCTTGCTTGACAACAGCAAAAGAAACTATACCAAAACATGACATCAAGAATTTGTCATCCATTGAAAAGCAGTAAAGATCCTTATCAAGCAGATCACTGCAGGAGTTAAATGTTAGGATGTTGATTAATACACTGAGGACAGTATCATAAGTATAATGTTCCACCTCATGGTCATTTCCCAATGGAAATTGATGTCCGAACACTCCTGATGGATGTACTGTACCAGATATTTATTGTTTCTCTCATATAATCATGTAAATTTGTGCACTGACATAATTGTGTCACACTGTCAAACACCATTGTGTCAAAGTCAAAGGACCCGTAAAGGTCCGGGTTAGAATATTGATCTTCAGTAACCCATGCTTGTCGTAAAAAGCGACTAGCGGGATCGGGTGGTCAGGCTCACTGACTTGGTTGATACATGCCATCGTATCCCAGTTGCGCAGATTGATGCTCATGCTGTTGATCACTGGATTATCTATTCCACACTCGATTATTTACATGTAGCTGGAATATTGCTGAGTGCGGCGTAAAACTAAACTCACTGAAAGCAAGGAGTATATAATTTATATTGCACCAACATATGCAATAGTCGACGCATGCATATACACATGTAGGTGATACACAAGGGGGACACGGTTGTTTGAGACACTTCATTTTGCTGTACAGAGTTGCTTCCCTTTCCCGTATCAGGAAGGTTGGAACGGGATAATATTTGCTCTGAAATATATTCTAGGTTGAGTGTCCTGTCTCACTTCAGGCTTTCCTCACTGATTGGGGGTAGCCTACTGGTGAAAGCTTTTGCTTATCTCGGCAAAGACCTGTGTTTGATTTCCCAGAATTTCCTGTTATGCCCATTGGCATTCAAAATGGCCATGTTACTCTGTGAGATATAGAGTGCCACCAATAAACAGGTTGATGGGGTTCGAAAATAGGTTTTGAATCATTTGAATTGGTCAAATTTATCACATTTTCCATTAAATGAGTGAGGACTCTTATCATGGTGAGCATGTAATTTTTGTTGTGCCACCAGGGCACATTGAAAATGTTTCATCTGTGCCATCTAAACATTCATCGTGCCACGGCACACAAATTAAGCACTTTTTCAATCTGTGAGAGCCCATTTTGACTGTCCTCATACCATCGTATTGGTGGAATATTGCTAAAAGTGGCATTATATCTTGCTCCCTGGAAGTGGCATTAAGTCTGACTCACACAGAAACAAGACATCTTGTGATTAGTGGTGGTCCAGTTAATTAAAATAATCGATGATTGGTCGCAATAACTAAATGACCAAGCAATCGATCATGTTTTCTCAAAATCGAACACAAACAATTTTGAAACACTTGTTTGCATTGACAATATTTTTCACAAGATTGGTTTTGTCTGTTACATTTCATAATCACTACAAGATCGATCCAAGTCATGACTGAATTTATCTTAGAGAGTCCAGGAAAGTAATGTCCCTAATATACTAGTCATCCTTTATAGATGTAAAATTTGCAAATGCATTGTGTGCAATTTGCAAAAATACTGAAAGAACCACATGTTTTTTCTTCAGTTTTGGTGCATTAACAAACATAACCAGGAAAATTTGATAACTGATGCTAACCAATTATTGTCGATGATTGATCAGTAGTAATTAACCAGTCATCAATTATGAGATTTTAACCAATTCCCAACACTACTTGTCATCATGGCTGGCTTTCCTTCCTTGTCGAATACTGAAAACCCCTCTCACACTTGTAAACACATACCTTCAAACCTCCATATACATGTAGCTTCATCATAAATAAAAACATTTATTACTTTAAACTGTAGTGAATAATGCTAAAATAAAGTTAGAGAACACATTCTAACAACTACTTTGTTGCATAAATTACAGTTCTCAATAGCTTGCCCCAGAACGTAATTATGTTCATCTTTAGATCTTATAGTAGTTCAGTCACTGACCAAAAAATGAAAATATGTTAGTTAATGTTTAAGCCTAGTTTACCGCTTACCCAAAAATTAAAATATGTTAGTATGTTTAAGCCTAGTTTACCACTTACCCAAAAATTAAAATATGTTAGTATGTTTAAGCCTAGTTTACCACTACCAAAAAATTAAAATATGTTAGTATGTTTAAGCCTAGTGTACCACTATGTGTGGATGGTTTCAGTGTTTAAGTGTAGTGGTGAAGAGATTGGGATGGGGATATTGTGAAAGTGTAATCTGAAATATATCATATGCTGGTTAAATCTTCTGGTGTACTGGTGTTGGTTGATGTACAA